TTTTTTTATACACTATAAGTTGATCACTGTTTTATTTTTGGGTTTTTTTTGTTTCTTTTTTTGTCTTTTTTGAGACAGGGTCTCCCTATAGCCCCAGCTGTCCTGGAACTCACTATGTAGACCAGGCTGGCCTTGAACTCACAGAGATCCGCCTGCCTCTGCCTCCCAAGTGCTGGGATTAAAGGCGTGCGCCACCACGCCCAGCGTGTATGAGTGTTTTAAAAAATATTTTATTTAGAATTTTCTGATGTTGTGCTTGCATTTCACCGCTCCATTCTTCCAGCCCAGAAAAAAAAATCCTTAATATCTTTCCTTGCTTGGTACATACCTTGAAGCAAGGAAAAATTTATTGCAGTAAAACTTAACCATGAGGGAAATCATGTATGGAGGCTAGTCAATGTGACAACCAGATTAGTGCCAAGCTCTGGGAGGTGATCAATGAAGAGCGTGGCATTGACCCCACCAGTACTTACCACAGAGGCAGCAACCTGCAGCTGGACTGCATCTCCATTTACCACAATGAAGCCACAGGTGGCAAGTATGTTCCTTGAGCTATCTTGGTGGATCTAGAACCTGGACCATGGATTCTGTTCACTCTGTACTTTTGGCCAGATCTTCAGACCAGACAACTTTGTTTTTGGTCAGTCCAGGACTGGAAAACAACTGGGCCAAAGGCCACTACTGAGCAGACTGAGTTGGTCTGCTCTGTCCTAGTGCAGAAGAAGGCTGAAAGCTGTGACTGCCTTCAGGGTTTCCAGCTGACCCATTCACTGGGTGGAGGCACCAGCTCTGGAAAGGGCACCCTGCTCATCAGCAAGATCCAGTCCAAGAAGTGTACTCTGACAACATCATGAACACCTTCAGCATGGTGCCTTCACCCAATGTTTCTGGTGCCATGGTTGAGCCCTACTTCATAATTTCTTTCTGCTGCCTCTGTCCTGTTTTTGTTCTTTCAGGTTTTTTTGTGTGTGTGGGGGTAACAGTGTCTGGCATATAGTAGGTGTTCAATAAATATTTGTGGAATGTCCCCTTTCTCTTTACACTCTGACAGACCTAGATTTCTGCCATTCTGGGTTACCTTTTATTTCCTTCTGGTACCCACTTCTCAACTGTCCAGATTAATAGTCTTCCAAAAAATTTCCCCAGGAAACTTGAGTCTGTTCCAGATCCCGTTTAGAACCATCCAGTGCCAAAAACCTAGACAGTGGCTACCATCCCAAGCCTAAGTAGTAGATGAGGGAAAGTGGGCTGATAATAGCAGGTACTAGTCCCTAGGAGGAAGGGGGTGGGGTTTTCAGTCTATTTTTTTCCCCTACTCCTTCTCAGCCTCGGGAGGGGAGTCCTCCAGCTGTTGCCAGCCTTATCTGTCTTTGGAGGTATCTGTCCCTGCTTTTCCTTTTCTCCCAAGGAACTGGGGAAGGTGCAGGGCTTTGGTCTCTAAACACCCAGAAACTTCCTCACTCCACTTGTTCTTATCTTGAATAAGACCTCTGGCTTGTAGAAAGGTCTTATTCCCTCCTTTGTTTTGTACTACACTTCAGATTTCTATTTTGTGTTGAACTTGCTGGGTTTTTTTTTTCATATTGAAAAGATGTCATTGCCCCAAGAGCCAAAAATAAATATGAATTGGAAAACAAAAAATCTATATTATTATTATTATTATTATTTTTTGAGACAGGGTCTCCCTGTAGCCCCAGCTGTCCTGGAACTCACTATGTAGACCAGGCTAGCCTTGAACTCACAGAGATCCGCCTGCCTCTGCCTCCCAAGTGCTGGGATTAAAGGCGTGTGCCACCATGCCTGGCTATTATTTTTATTTTGTGTGTTTGAGTATATTGCCTACATGCATGTAAGTATACCCATGTTGTGCAATACCCTCAGAAGTCAGAAGAGGGTGTCGGATCCCCTGGAACTGGAGTTACCTGAGTGGTTGTTAGCTGCCATGCAGATGCTGGGAATTGAACTTGGGTCCTCTGCAAGAGCAGCCAGTACTTTTAACTGCTGAGCCATCTCTCCAGCCCCCACATCCGAGTGTTTTGCCTGCATGTACATAAGTGCACCTGTATCATGCAATGTCTCTGGAGGCAGACAAGGATGTAGCATTCCCTGGAAGTGGAGCTACCTGGACAGTTGTTAGCCAACATGTGGGTGCTGGGAACTGAACCCTGATCCTCTGCAAAAGCAGCCAGTGCTCTTAACCTCTAAGTAATCTCTCCAGTCCCATTCACCTTGTTTTTGAGACAGGGTTTCTTATTGGGAACTGGGGCTTGCCAACTAAGCTGGACTAGCTGATTAGGGAGCCCCAAGGATCTCTGCCTCCTCAGAGCTGGATGCTGTCACACAAGCATATGCTATTAGAGCCAGCTTTTTATATTGGTACCAAGGGTCAAACTCAGGTCCTCATGCTTGAATGGCAAGCACTTTCCCAACTGAGCCATCTCTTCAGCCCTATGATGACTCATTTATGTCTCTGATCTGAGGCAGTCATTGAGACTGAGATGGGTTCACTGGCCACGGTCAGAGGCTGGCTCACCCCAGGGTGAAATGCCAGTTCCTGCTTCACCTCCTTGCTATGGCTTCATGGGCTGTCCTGGACAGGTTGTGCCTGGCTTCTCTACAGTATCCCACTGAGGAAGCCCACCTCTTGCTCTCTTCACACCTTAGGGCCTCTTGATCTTCATTTCCTTCTGGAAGTCCCCTGGGCCATATATCAACCATAGTTAAGGCACTGGGTGCTGCTAGGTACTTGCCAGGAGAGTGGTTTGGCAGTGTGGGGTTCTATGGTGGAACAGGTGGGGCAGGGCTCAGGAGGAAGACCTTGGCAGACAGGTGCCTCTGTTGACACAGCAGCTCTTAGCCAGGGTCCTGGGTTGGGCCTCTCTGGGTGGGAAGGGCTTACAGGTGTTGTTGGGCTCCAACATCTCGAGCACTGCTCCTACCCCAACATAGTGAGAGTGTGTTGGGTGGCAAGGACACTGATTTTGAGGCTTTCCCTACCAGGAAGTAGGCACAAGAGGAACAGCATGCTCCAGGTCATAAGGTGGTTCCTGATAATGATATTGTGGCATCCTGGAGTAGATTATAGTCCATAAGAAGGGGCTTTTCCAGAAACCCCTTCTTCCTACAAAGCAGTAAGCAGCCAAAAGCTATGGTCACCTTCAGGATTGATGGGCCCTGGAAGCTGCCCCAGAAGGAAGACCCTGAGCAAAGGGAGAACAGAACCACATCACAAGGTCCCAGCCTTCCTGAGGGGGAAATAAGCATCACCTACCTGGGCAAAAGGCAGGTTTGCAGGCCACCCACTAATCCTGCAGTTGGAACAGCAAATTTCCTTCCAAGATGGTTATAACTTAACTCAGGTCCCTACTTCTCTGGGTGAGGACAGGAAGTGGGGCTGAGTTACTGGAGGTCAACTCCATGTCTTCAGGGACCTGGTTGTTGCACTGCGAGGGGCTGTGTCCTTCCCTCTCTGTGGTCTGTGATGGCACCCTCCATCCCCTGAGCAAAGTAAAAGCTCTGCTTGGGGAGAAAGAATCCTAGATTTCTAGGACTCATAGCTGTCTGACCCATACCACAGAGGAGGTGTTTTTATTTTTATTTTTTGACTGGTTCACAGTATCAGGAACAAACCCAGAGTGCGTCATAGGTGGGTCCTGTGGTAAGCCTAGGTGTTTTGTAACTCACCGCAGTTACTACACACTGTCGTGTCGGTACACAGGTAGGACTGATTTTGTTTTTGATTTTGTATTTTATTTATTTTTATTTTTTGGTCTTTTTGAGACGACTTTGTATTTTAAATTGGGATTGTGTGTAGCCATGTAGCCCAGGTTGGCCGTGTGATTTTCTTGGCATAGTGCTGGGATTACAAGCTTGCCAGGTTAGGGCTGATTCTGAAGATGCACTGAGCCCCAATCAGCTACCAGCTCAAAACGCCAGACACACCCGGTGCAGTGCGGGGGTGTAAATCCCCTGGAGACTGCCCGGTGTCTGGATACCCTGTGGTCCACACAGAGCACTTTCTTTCTGAGGGCAGATGGCTCCTGGGGAATAGGTGAATATGATGGTTTAGCACGCCGCGGCCTGGCAGGGCAGGTGGCATCTGCGGCACTGAGCCTTTCCACCGATGGGCCTGTGGGCACAGCTGAGACAGCGGCGGGACAGGCGACCCAGAGCCCGGACCGAGCTCTAAGAATGGTAAGAGGCACTCCTTAGGGACCGGCACGAGCTCCCTGAGAAGAAGGCAGCAGATGCTGGGGGTTAGCAGGTCCGCGGGGATCGAGGGCGTCAGGCTGCACGGCTTCAGGCCAAGCTCCTCCGAGTACTGTTGCCGGCCTGTCCTCCCACTTTTCCCGCAGGTGCGGGTCTCGGTGGAGGCGCGGAGAACTATACTTCCCGGCATGCTACGCAGTTGCTAGGGCGGACCAAGGCGGAAGAGCCCGCTGGAAGGCATGCATCATTTCCGTTAAACGACTGGGTTCATGTTCGATTATCGTGAGCAGAGGTTTGATGGGTAGTCTGGCTTCCGGTTTTACGCGACGGACGTGACGAGACGTGGCGCGCCGCAGTGCGTGACCGGAGGTCGCGATGAACCGTCTTCTGTGTTGGCGGGTTGCGTGGTGAGCGCCGCGAGGTGCGGGCGGGCAGCGGCGGCAGCGGCAGCGGCAGCGGCGGGGCTCTCACTCCTGTCTCTCTCTTCTAGGGCCGTTCGGGCTCTGCGGCTTGTGAGCTGGACTTCGCGAAGCTTGCATCCGCCGCCCGGTCCCCGGTCTCCGGCCCAGCCCGCGGCCGCGGGAAAAGAGGAAGACCACAACCTCCCCCTACAGTTTTCCTCCAGCAAAGCGACCCCAGTCCGCTGGACGGTGGAGCATTCCTTAGGAAAGCAGCAGCAGCGACCCTGGTGGAAAGTGCTGCCCATCACCCTGTCCCTCGTGGTTCTGATCATCTGGTGCTACCTGAGGCAGGAAAGCAGCACGGACCAGTGGTTGAAACAGGTGTTAGGAGAGGATGTCTCCGAACCCGGTGATCCTTCGGAGGAGTCTGGAGCTCAGGCTGTCTACCGGGCGAGAACCTAATGGGTGCCTATTGAGAAACAGGCAGCCGCCCTGCGGATTCCATGTCGCGTTAGGTGGTTTCTGCCCTGATTTCATTCACTGCGTGCGTCTTCGGCTCTTGAAGGACTCGGATGGCGCTAAGACACGAAAACCGCACGAAATCGGCAGCTTGAAATCTGAGATTCGTGCTCTGTGATTACGTCCAAAGAACTTTTTGAAAAAGGTCCATAGAGGTGGTTTTGGCTGCACGTGTGCTGTTGGATTTGTGATGTCTTTGTACAACCCAATCATGTTTCCAAAGCAGTTCTGGTGACAGTGTTACTTTCTGAGACAGAATAAGTGAAGTATTAAGCTTTGTAGTGTGGGGTGCTGTGTGTAATATCTGTTGAAGTTAATATTACATACTAACAAATGGAAATGGAAAATACATTTGGTAAAGTCTAATGAATGCAATTTTCCCCTCCTCTTGCATCTTTTTTTCCTCCCAGCTGTCCTGGAAATCCTATGTAGACTAGGCTGGCCTTGAACTCACAGAGATCTGCCTGGCTCTGCCTCCCAAGTGCTGGGATTAAAGGTG